TGAACTAACACTATGCTTTCACCTATGTACACATGCATGTGAAACCCGATGTTGTAGGTTTGTAACCCCCAAAGAGTTAATGCAATAGATCGAATCCTCCTTCTTGGACGACACATACTTTATTGCTATTGTTTGTCTTCGTGTCGTATCATGTTGCTTCTCGATCTCCTTATTTCCCCACTATTTTTTTCTTCTTTTTGGCTAGGTTTATCCACTCTTACTAAGTTGAAGCTAGGTATATGTTAATACATACTATGCTTCTTTCTCTTGTATTGACACATTCATATCCCATTAACACAAGCTACAAGGCCGAGATATGTTAGTCGCCACTAAATTGACCATACTACCCCATCGAAAGATGACATCACAAGCCAACTTGATAGCGAAGTTTCACACAACAGTAAACACATAAAAAGGCAGTGCTATGCATAATCAAGAGTATGATTATGTGATTATTACAAACTAGAATAAACTGCAATAAATGAATCATCACCTAAAGTCCAATGGATGGATGCCTCCCTACCAAGCCCACTTGTCACCTTCGGGGTCCTTTGAATAGAATAACCCTGGTTTTGAAATCACATATATTGTGAAAACTACATACATATAATACTACAATAATAGTAGTTAAGTTCATATCACATCCCTCATCATATCAAAGAAAGTAATATCAATTACATAATCAAAGTAATTTAAACGTATAGCAAGCAGATGAAGTGGCGTCTACATGATCGATGACTACCGCCTACTAGTGTTTCTAGCCTCTACTAGAAAGATAAGTACCTGCAAATAACATACAGCCGTAGCTAGCTATACGACATGTATGATGACCATGTGGTGAAAATAAATCACCAACGGTATCAAGATATCAATTTAATTTAACTGGATATAAGTCTCCTCAAAGACTATCAAGAGTAGTAATATGCATCAACATATAATAATAATTTAAAACATTTTAGTTTTCAAAGGAATCCACTCACGGGTAATCATAACGCCTTTCCTCGATAGGCTTCTTGCCTAATTCCTCTTTAATCTCTAATACGCATGTGAATTGATTATAAAACTAAAATAAGCTTTCATGAACATCCTAGAGAAAATCGTCTAAAACTACCATTTAGACATGGAATTAGCACAAACGGAGAGCACCACATAATTCAGAACACCGAAAAACCTAAAAATGAGTCTCAGGTCCTGCACGCCCCGCCATGCTCCGACCAACGCCACCACGCACCGTGGCATCAGGAAAGATGCGCCACCGCATGGTCACAGGTGCCACGCGCTGGTCACAGGTGAGAGTTAACAGTGTTAACGGAATATACTTGCTGGAGGGAATATGTCGTTAAGTCTAACGGCACAGTTGATGTTTCCGTTATGTCCAACAGAGATCGGCATTGACCGTCGCTGGCGTAGTCGCCGGAATCTACAGGAAACGATCAGGGCTTCCCCCGAGTTCCAAATCAAAGGTTTCTCAATTCTTGATAGAAAATTACCCTAAAGGCTCAGGAACTTACCCAAACACGTTTTACAAGGAGTGGAGGTCAAATCCACCTCGGATTCGACAGTTTTCGCTCGGAAGAACCCGTCGGAAACTGCAGAGGAAAACGAGCATGCATGCATCAAAACAAAGATCCCCAACTTGAAATTCATCTAAAAAACTTCACAAAAATGCTCAATAGCTTACTCGGGTGTGCTGCAATAGGTTTTGGGGAAGAAAGCACCACGAACTCGCCGAAGTTTGTCCGTTCACACTCGCCGAGAACTGGAAACAGAGAGAGGATTGCATGCATGGATTAGAACTCGAAACTCAAGTTCAAACTTCACCATTATAAACCCTAGATTAGAGTATAGTTATTCAGAAGCATTGTAACCCTAGCAGACTTCGAACTCGACAGCTTTCGCCCGAAAGTGCAGAGGATGCGACCCTCGAGTTTCAATATGAAACCATGACAATGCAGCACAAAACAACATAGATAAACCCAGAAATTCGAAGAATAAGCAAGAGCCTCACCTGCATTCAAGAACGGAGCTCAAAACTCTCGGATCCCATGGCAGAGCATTGCCCGGTGCTCCGATGGTACATGAAATAGTATGGCTGGGTTCCTTGTGTCCCAGAGATTAAGATTACAAGGTTTTGGGTTGGATTTACTTCAAACTCGAAGAGAAATAAGGATACGAGCTCCCGGAGCTTAGATAGAGTGAGTGAGTTCGAGAGTGAAGAGAGAGAGAGAGGGTTCAATTTGAATTAGGGAGAGGAGGACCGACTGACCGAGAGTGGGTTAATCCCAAATAGAAAAATTCAAACAGTAAAATTACCAAATTACCTCCCCATAAATGAACCCTCGAGTCTTCGATTCGAATTTTGTTTTCGATTTCACATTCACGTACATGAATATAGTTAGGAAAACATAAGAAAGTATAAGATATTGGATTTCGAATCGAGGCTTGAAAATTACTTAAGACACCCATTCAGAGACAAAAATCGTCTTTTCACATGTCTCGAGAATAAGTTACATTATTTTAAGGTACAAAGCATAACATGTATGGTTGGCCTGTTTGTTTTCTTTTTCTAATTATTATTTAAGGAAAATGATTCGAAACTATTACATAATTTATGAGAGAGGGCAGCTTCGAACCTGTGCCACATGAGTGAAAACCTAAGACTCTAGGATATTGGGATGTATGAACGATCAGTCTTTAAAAGTATAATATACCATTCCAAAATGTATAAATATAATTAATCTCCTCCTCTACCAATAAATCGGCTCTTCCTATACTACCATTCTTTTATTTATCAACATTAATATCAAATTTAAGTATGGACAAGAACAGAGCTCAAAACTCTCGGCTCTTGAACGCATGCATTCCTTGGTTACAACTTACAAACTAACGAGTCACCAGGACAACATTTTTGTGTAAAACTACGCTCTCGTGCTATTTGTTTTAGACTTCATTGAATGATCTGTTATCCACTATAGCACCAAGCCCAAACCAAGGAAGGAACTCTATCCCACATCGACCAAAACACAAAGTCTTGTCTAGTTTATATTGCTCCTAATAACAAGCAAGCTTGTGTTCGTAGAAAGGAGAGATGGTTGGCATCTCCCCTGACAGGGACGGGAACAGCTTTCGAGCTTACCTGTTACCACACATCCGGTTAAGGCTACCCACCCTTGCGGTGGATCTATAACCCAATTTTTTTTTTTTTTATTTTGTTTCCATTTTAGACAACATCTACGTTTACCAAACTCTCTCAATATTAATGGTGATACGACTCTAACATATTGGAGTCCCAACTATCGGAATCATCAACGTCAATGAAAAAATGCAGAGCTGCTTCTGAAAGATGTGTTAGATCAACGATTGGAGCCTTCAACCAATGAATTGGCTTCGATGGGCTTCTACTTTCATTGTCTAATGCCGGCCCAACCAATGTTTTCTTAATCCCAGTGTTAATGGTGAAACGTTTACCAAACTCTCTCAATATTAACGGTGATACAAAGATATAAATATGTAGGAGTTAGCCTTTCAAAGGGTTATGAACGAAGATATAAAATTATTCTGATTTCTTTTCAACTTTATGCATTTTCCCTTTTATCATGTTTGATCCTATCAAATGGCTATGAGTGGTGTCCACTGGACTGTGAATTCCTCAGATGCAAAGCGACTGTCTTCTTTTCACCTTTTCGACAAATCCGAACCAAAAAAATCAATATTTCTTGCCGCTCCACCAAGTCTCCTCCCAAATCCCCGCCGGATTTAGCCGAACCCAGCACCACCAACAACAATAAGAGAGAGAACAAAAACACATCTTTATCTTTGTCCGAACAACTCCAACCTCTGACCACAACCACTCTTCTACCCTCTTGTTAACACTGGGCATTTTTAGGCCCACCCAATGGTGCAAGTTGAGGAAAGAGCCATGAAAAGCCCAAGAGAGATTGAGAAGCCCATGGCCTAAAGGGCTTAGAAGAAGATATATCCGAACGCTCTGAGCTTTAGCTTGACTAGGGCATGTAAGGGTTCCTCCGACCACCAAGAGCACGTCAGCAGGCTGATATCTTTATGAAGCAAATCTCCAAGAACAAGCCTACCTAGATATCGATCACACCATGTGGCAGCCCCCAGTTAGTGGTAGAGACCTAGGATGTGATGTAAAGGTAGTCGGAACAATTGTCGGGGAGGCAAGGTTGGATAACCAAGGCCAAGCAAGGCGTTTGGCTCACAACATGTTGACAAATCGCGCCTATTTGGTTGAACAAATGTCATTTTATCGCCGATTGTTGGGTTGATTGGTGAAAATGTGTGAGCACCATAGTATACATAGGTGGCACATTAAGTGCCAAGTTGGGGAGACCCAAGGGTGAGAGGTTCATTTAGGGCTTACATAAAAGGGGGAGGACCTTATGTATTGGGTGTTGGATGATTGAGAGAAGAAATAATTGATGTATTAATATCGAGTGCTATTTAGTATTGAGATTAATATAGTAACATTGTGGACGTAACCCAAGGGTGAACCACTTAGTTTGTGAGTCCTATTCACTTCATTTCGTATCCAAAGCCCACCTATGGTTCATCATTTAATTTGTTAACCTGCAGATTTTAAGCGTTAACACCCCCTTCTCCCAAGACCAATTGCAGTTTATATTCAGCACGAGTTATGTGCTTATTATAGTGCTTTTCTAGGATTTACTTGCATTTTTTCTAAATATTGGTTTCAAAAATATTTTCACAAGGACTTTCAGTCATTTTAAAGATACTTTCAAATAAATCCTAATTCTTTACATTGGAGTATAAGATTCGGAGAAGAATACCAAAAAGCGGAAACCATCGCCCTTTTTAAACTCTTGTATAATAACATGGATCTAACAATATAAGTCTTGCACCGGAAATGCTCTGAACATGTACCAAAGTATCCAAGGCTTTGATGGATCTAATTTTTGTTAAGAAAATCCATAATCATACTAAGAGAACAGAAAACAGAGCTTATTATATTCGATGAATTAACCTTTTTCAACAATCTAAATTATACTAACAAGGCAACTTTACAAATATTAATACATAAAATTGAGCTTAATTCAGCTAAGTGAAAACATATGATAACAGTCAACCAAAAAAACATATGATACCAGTGATTTAATGAGAAAGCAGGCACCTTAATCAGATTGTTTGGCCAAATTGATCTTCTATTGCACAAGAGCAATTGTGTGATTAAACTTTAATCGCTACCCTTTCAACAATCTCGGAAAATCCCTTAATTTCACAGCGCAACTAGCGGAGCTACTTGCCCAAGCTTCCTTTTCGAGTCTCTGACTCTTCTGTGCACAAGGGCGTTTTGAAGTTCAAACATCCGCCAAACCCAACAAGGACGCCCCTTGCTGATCCTTAACCTGTATCACTGAATGCAAACTTGAACCCTCGGGAATTCCCAATGGAGGACCTAAACATGAAGCATTATTAACGGTGTACAGCTCCCACTCTTTAATTCCACACTTGTCTAGAGCAGAAATTAACCTCGTCCTATGCACATCATTTGGGTATGCCCCATCCGGACTGACAAGCACAGCACCGGTATAACATTGTCCTGCAGCTCGAGCAGCACCGCTATAATAAAACAAACCCCAACTAAGATCATCAGCAACATCCACAATTGTCCAAAACTCATTCGATACAACCCCATTGTCCAAGACACTAAAGTTGAATGTCCCCGGTATTTTGCTTCTCTTGACTCGATACTTCCGCCTCCTCCAGACCATCTTCCCCTCCAATGTTTGTACCTGAAAAACTGGCTCGTACCAAAATGACCCTCTGGCCTTCCCCCTATAAAAGAGCTGGTACTGACAGGGAAATTGATCATAAGCTGGGTTCTGCCCTGCCACAACACGCCAACTCCAATTCAAACTCCCCAACCAACCAACGAAAAGATCTTCAGCAGTTTCGTGGCACAAGTCCTTCCCTTGAAATTTAACCATGGGTGGCACATACGGTTTGTCAGGGATCTTTGCATCCAATCCAAGACAATTATGTTTCTGCAACACGCACAGAGAAAATGCTTCTAGATTTGGACTCTCATACGAAGCAATGCACCGATAGTTACACACTTGATCTACTGGGCTGCACCGATTCAAGCATTGAAGTGCTTTCCGACAATTTGGATCCAAGAGGCAGTTTAGTACCTGAGGCCCGCAGTTCTTTACCATGCAGCTCAGGGTAGAAAGACCTCTTGATCTTAGATTCTTCAGGATTGGGACTGGTCTTATGTAAGTGTTAATTATAACCAATAAACAAAACCTTATATCATCCGTATTATGCCGATCCCACGCCTGTGATACAGTCTGGATCACTTCCTCTGATCCACTGTTCATTGATTTTTGTGAAGTGTCAAAGCTTTTGCCTAATATATTTCCCTTGGTTTCACTACGAATATCATATCCTCCTAATCTGTTTGCTAAATTCGGAGATGAGTCAAAGCAGATAATGTTTCGAATATTCTGACTATTAGTTTGAATCCATTTAACTGATTCTTGGTTCGTAACAGAAACAATCACCAAAATATCCGCACGTTGAAACTCCGTGTGGAAATTTACGGCAATTTGATGATCAGATTTGCAGATGTCATCGGTAAAAACAAGCATTTCATATGCTTCGTCTACCCATTTCAGTCTTTTCGCCTGTTTACAGGGAAAGTATCAGGCAACAAGCAATACAAGCGTAGCAGCCAAAAACAAAGCACAACAACATACCACACAAATCTAACTCGATCTAAACCGCCTTTTCAATGGTAACTGACTAAAAGAGATATAACTAGAATGTGGCATCTGTTAAAGTGTCAATGACGGAGGCACCTTCTTTCCAAGGTCTTAGTACGAGAAATTTTCAATGTCCGGAACACATGCCAGTACATCACATGTCATTATATAATTAGAGTAAAGTTTTTTTTCAAGTGTCCCTCCAATTGTATAATAACATATGTCATATCGCTCCATATTTCTCAGCAACTAAACATTAATACGAGGAGGGGAAGGGTTTGAACCCGAAACGGGGCGCGGTTTGAAGAGGAATGTCCTATCCATCGTGACAATCCACCACTTATAAAAAAAGTAGTAACATTTCATCATAACTGACAACTCTATTTTATTACTTGTTAGAAATTCGAGCAATTTGTTGAAAAGAAATTATAACAACAAATAAGAAATTAAGAATCTGTTTGATTAAATGTTGTTCTTGGGTTTATAAAGAAAAGTAAAAGAAAGCAAAGTTGAGAGCGGATTACTTACAGTGTGGAGCATGACCTCTTCCCAAGGTGTGGACTTGAGAGGGCTGAGGGTGCCTTGGCCGACAACTGCTACTATTCTCACCGGTGTTGTCTCCTCCGCCGTCACCACCGCGCTCGAATTCACTTCCTTAACCGCCAAAACCGGGGGTGGGGCACGGTAAATTGTTTTTCCAACTGCAAACGGGGAACATGGAAAATGAAGAAAACCGGCTGCTGCGGAAGCTGCGAACCGCCGGTTCAATGAAACTGCGGTTCTGGGTTTGAAAAGCGGTGGAACTGAAGCTGCTTCCAGAGCCATAGTCATGACGTCACAGCTCACCTGACCACTCTCTGTCTCTCTCCTCTGTCTGAGGTGGTTTCCATGGAGGAAGAGAGTGAGGTACAAGTATAATTTGGGAGAAAAGATGAGGGGGGAGAGAGAGTAAAGTGGAGGGAAGGAGGGAGGAGTGACTGTTTTTCTGGAGTTAATTTGGCCACGTGTTGCCACTTATTTATTTTTTATTATTATAAACCAATACTATTATTATTTTTAATTGTATACTAAATCTTTTGCAATTATTTTTTTGGCAAACTAATTACACTAAATATATTTAAATATAATAAGAGTTGAACACAAAATTTCAGAATTAGTGATAAATATTTTAAATTAATTGATATACAAGTTACTAGCTAAATTATGAAGTATTTTAAATAGATTGATCTTATTCATCCAACCTTAATAATACATTTTAGTTGTATTTTTCTTCACTTGTAAAAGACATAAAAATTTTAAATTTGAATGGATCTAGATTTTCTCCTTTTTCATTTTACCTCAATTTCTCTCTTATAATATTTGAACTTTAACGATTATGTTACGTCAACATTTTATACTGATTATTTTTCTTTATAAGAGGAGAAAGAATAGAAAATATGTGAAAGGAAAAGATGAGAGGACATAAAGAAGAGGTGGGAATTAAAGGAAAGAGAATCCGACCACTGTGTTAAATATATCGTGAGTCACAAGGTGAATACGATTTCTTTACCAAAAAACAAAAAAAAAATGTTGAAAACAAATTTTTCGATTTTCATTTTTAGCTTTGATAACAACCATAAGATAGCCAATCAACGGCTGAGATGAACACAATATATGTCTGCGATGCTAGTCTCTCTCTCACTGCTTCATCGAAGGCTTAAACCCTGCCCGACGACAACTGCCGTAGTTATAAAGCAAGTATAAACCCTAAACCCTAAACCCTAATTGCAGAGAGAGAAAATGAGGAAGAAGGTGGACGAACGCATCCGGACCCTAATAAGCAATGGCGTCAAAAACCGGCACCGCTCCATGTTCGTCATCGTCGGCGACAAGTCCCGTGACCAGGTACTCCTAACTTCTTCTATTCCCTATTTGCTATTCCTCTTGGATTGAGGAGTTATTGCAATGAATTGAATTGGGCAGCAAATTGTACCAATTTTACAGCTTTTTGTTTTGTTTTTTCAGCTGCAAATTATACTCACTGAGTAATACTAAAAACCTCAAACAAAGAAATTTTATCGAAATTTAACCGAAAACCAGTTCTGACGAAACTGGCTAACTTTTATTGAAATTTATATGGTCTTCAGATAGTGAATCTTCATTATATGCTAAGCAATGAAGTAAAAAAATCGCGTCCGACCGTCTTGTGGTGCTACAAGGACAAGCTTGAGCTCAGCAGGTTGGTTTATTTTATCTTCCTTTCTTTCTTTACCTTGTTATAACGCGGAATTTTGTTTAAAAAGTATTGATTCGTTTCGTTTGACTATTTGATTGATGCAGTCACAAGAAAAAACGTGCTAAGCAGGTAAAAAAGATGATGCAGAGGGGGCTGCTTGATCCCGAGAAAGTTGATCCTTTCTCACTTTTTGTTGAAAGTGGGGGATTGACTTATTGCCTGTACAAGGATTCAGAAAGAATTCTTGGTAATACCTTTGGAATGTGTATACTTCAGGTAACTTAGAACTTATACCAACTTTTCTGGTTTAGCCGACGACTCCCTTTTTATAATTAATTAAAGTTTCAAGATGAAGTTTGATCTTTTTTCTGCTGCGTTAAGGATTTCGAGGCCTTGACTCCAAATCTACTAGCAAGAACGATAGAGACAGTCGAGGGAGGTGGACTAGTCATATTGTTGCTTCGTTCTCTAACCTCACTCACCAACCTCTACACCATGGTTATGGTATGCATATAATAATATCTTTCTCTTACGCATGCACACTAATAATGCTTAGTTTTTAGGCCGGCATGGTTATGCTTATTATATGATGCTAAATCTGGAAAACTAGCCATGTAAAAGTTTCCCAGTTTATTTGTAATGATTTGCTTGGCTACAAGAAAACTTTTTGTTTATTGAATTGCTTGACTTTCTTTAAGAGAATGCTGCTAGACATATACGTTTCCCAGTTCGACCTAAGTAGGCTAGTTGTTTCTTTTCATATTCTACTGCAAAAAAGAAGAAGAAAACAACTAGGATTTCCTCATAATATTGTTTTACTTGTTGAAGTAGTTTCGAGTTGTACTGCATTATGTACTTTGAACAAATATAGCAATAGCCATTCACCACATACTATATTTGATAGCAATTCCTTCATGTCATGTTTTATTTGCAACACTGTTTTTCGTTCTCTCAAATACGAAATATCTGTGTCTCATCACTGCCTCTTGATTTCAGGATGTTCACGATAGGTTTCGAACTGAATCCCATTCTAAGGCTACTGGGCGTTTTAACGAGCGTTTCTTATTATCGCTTGCGTCCTGCAAATCATGTGTAGTCATGGATGATGAGCTGAATATTTTACCAATTTCATCTCATATGAGGTCAATTACCCCGGTTCCAGTTAAAGAGGTAACCTTTTGGCATCTTAAATTGAAGGAACTGATAAACCGAGGCATGCTTTATTTTTGTAGCATCTTATGACAGGTTGAAAAAAGAATAAAAATAGTTTTGTCTGTATATGTTTAAGCTCAATGGTTATTAGGATAGTTTTTAGGAGTTCGTGATACCATTGTTCAATACCTTATAAGAAAAATACTGTTGGTGAATGAAGCTTTGACAACTTTTTTTTTGTCTTCTGATCATGATTGAAGGACTCTGAAGGGATATCAGAGGCACAAACGGAATTGAAGGATTTAAAAGAGCAACTGAGTGATGCCTTTCCAGTTGGCCCTTTAATAAAGAAATGTTGTACGTTGGACCAGGTAGGTCTTCTCTCTGATTTGTATTAGTTTTTAAGTCTCTATCATGTGATTTACTAATATGACTCATAGTTTGAGTTGGTAAATGTTTCAACAGGGAAATGCTGTTGCTACATTTCTTGATGCAATCTTGGACAAGACACTCCGAAGTACTGTTGCCTTGCTTGCTGCTCGAGGCCGTGGAAAATCGGCTGCACTTGGTTTGGCGATTTCGGGAGCTATTGCTTCAGGGTAGTATGCCTTTTACAATGTATTAAAACTGTTTTTGTGTATGCGTAGATGTTTACACTCATATTAATGTACTATGTTTTGACGATACAAATATATCTTCACAGGTATTCAAATATCTTTGTAACTGCACCCAGCCCTGAGAACTTAAGAACCTTGTTCGAATTTGTTTGCAAAGGTTTTGATCAACTGGACTATAAGGTATGTCATTTTGTATTCCTGCGGGTGGTTCTAATGTGATCTTTAGCAGTCTTGTCAAAAATCTAATTCTTATTAATTAAAAATCCACTTTCCTCTACGTTATGCGCCTTCTTGTGAGATTTAACTCCCAAATAATCCTCGACGATTAGCAAATAACAATATCTTAGAACATACGCTACTCTAAACATTTGTGACAAGAGTTGCTAATTGAAAAGGGTAATGCAAACATATATGATCAATACTCTCCTTTCCTTTCCACACTCCAGCTAGGAGATATGGAAGGATAGAGTTGTTAGGAGCATTTGACAAGTATTAGTTTTCCTATGGATTATCAACTCTACATAAGTCTGCACTCTATGGGGGCCTAGCTTTTTAACTCATCTTATATGACTCAACCACATTGTCAGTTCAAGGTTCTAATGAGGAATGAATATTCTGAAAAGTTGATTGATAAGAAAATTGTAGATTCTTTATCTTCACCGGTTTAGTTATGATTCAAATGTTGATAAATTTAAATTTTTTTCCCGCTAAGTTAATAGCTTTTATAGTGAAATTGTTTAATTATCACGCATTTTGGTGTTTGAATGTTTTATTCTGTGAACTACATCTATTCTTTCATCAATTGTTATATGGTCAATCCTTTTCTTCATTTTTCAATCATTTATTTCAAACGCACTAGTATTTGAGCTTACTATTGTAACCTATGTTTACAGGAACATATAGATTATGATGTACAGAAAAGTAGTGACCCTTCGTTGAAGAAAGCAACTGTACAGATCAATATATACAAGCAGCACAGACAAACAATTCAGGTAAAATTTTATGGACATTTGGTTACATGTGTAGTATGCTGTGTTAGCAGGTGTTAGAATAATGCCGTAATCTGGGTAGTAACTATGTTAATACAGTTTCATGTAATGACTCACATGCAAATGTTAGTACTCCATATTGATGAACTCTTAATGTGTGCCCAATATTGATATAAAACTAGGAGTATTCGCTTCCTTATTATCAGGATGTAATCTACTTTCTATATTGAAGTAGGATGGGCCAGTGGGAAGTGTATCTATAACTTATTCTTAGTACGAAAGCAAAATAAGATGAGTGAGAATTTTTGTGGTCTTATCTTTCCTTTTGGATTCCATACCCTGAAAGTGCTACAATGTCTACTCTCTATATATATGCCCAGTTCTATCCTAGTTGATTCTGAAGCAAATCCTTCTATGTTAATTTTCAACCTTCAAAATTTTAGGGTTTATGTACATCCCAACTTAGCTCATTGCAGAGCAATAGAAGAATCATTGAGAACTACTGTGGGGATTTACAAAAGAATTCTTGGGAAAGAGTTGGGCATTATTATGGCTTCTCTCTCTCTCTCTCTCTCTCTCTCTCTCTCTCTCTCTCTCCAACCAATTCGGATATTTCATTTTCAGTAATTTTGTTAGATTGGGGAGTTGCAGTGAGATAGTTGTAGATCTGTTTTATAATGATGGAGGTGAATGTTGAGGCATTTGTTAGGGCTGTTTCGTTTTGATGGTGGACTTCTGGTTCACTGAGTGTTGTACATTTTTTTAGCTGTTTAATAAAATCTCTTTTTCTATAAAAAAAATAGCAATACAAATTTTGATTAGTCAGTTGATGTAAAAACACAAATACATGGAGGAATTATTATTCATGAAAAGGTGATAACCAAGTTGTAAAAGAGAATACTTTTCTATTGGATAGCCGCATCACTATTGCCATGAGTTTGTTCACCTTTTGCCCATCAAATGTCATGGGTTGTGTATGCCCTCATATATG